ATGTAGCCAGATTGTAGAGAATCATTCCCTGTCAAATAAGTCCTTCCCTTTGACTTTGCAATTTATTCAATCCTCTCTCATCTTAAAAATCAAGTCAAACCAAACCAATTGACCGACCAACCAACCAATCAAAGAACAAAAAAACTTTAGATTTCTTCTTCATACCTGTGACGGTCAGTGTTATGTGTCGACTTGGTTAGCCGTAGTAGCCAGTTACCCAAATACGACTTGAGGCCTGTTGTGATAGGATTTTGTAGAGATGATAAGCATCGCTCGTCAGCTGACTTTAAGCTTGTTGTCAGTGTTCTGGTGGGCATGCCTGATCTCACCAGCTGAAAGGCCTTAAAATCTTTCAAGAGTTTAGGTTCCAAAATGAAGAAGAAATACCACCTGTGGACCAAGGTGTCTACTTTCTGCCCGAGTTTCCAGTCTGCCCTGATACAATCCAAGGGTCTAAAAAGATTTAGATACTTGTCGAGTCCATTCTTTAAAATTGGTTTCTGTCCCCATCATTCCACTGAAACAACCTACAGAAGTTATAATTAACCTTCTTTTGCCAAACACATTTTTTTCATTCTTTTTTGAGAGGCTTCATTTTTAACCATTACTTGTTCTTGCTCTTTTGAAATTGTTTTAAATTGTGAAAAATACAATACACAAAAGAATGTGTGGCTTACATAATAATTGCTAAGCAAATATACATATAATCACCGTACAGATTAAGAAATAGGACATTGCTAGTGTTTAGAAACCCCCCAAACACTATTCTCTAATGACATCTGCTTTATTCCTCCAGGAGGCAAGCTATTTTTCCTTTTGTGTTATTCAATCCTTTCTTTTTTTTTTTTTTTTATGGTTCTTAGAATCACATTGGGTTTTTTGGTGGCATGTTACTTTTTCTCCGTGTATTTGTGAAATTCATTCATACTGATACGTAGAGCTCTCATTTATTCACTTTACTGTCTTGCATTATTCTTTATTCAGCATCGCTGCTGAAAAATATTCATCTTCAGCACTGCTGCACCACCAAATATCCATGTCATTATTGGTGGGGCTGTTTTGAGTTGGGGGCTACATTGAATGGTACTGCTGTAAGTACACTTACAAGGATGATTTTCAAAATACTTAATGGTATATATGGCAAGGTCATACACCACTCACAAGTTGTCAAACCCATCTGAATGGAAGGCGGACCAACCAGAAACAAATTTCTCAGGTATGCTGTACCAGTACGTACTGGCTAAAGAACCACCTGGCACGCTTGAAAATGTCTCCTGACCTACAAGTTCAGGAGTTTTTCTGACGTGCGTAACGAGGAGTGCAACTATTGAGTGGTAATGTATGGAAATCTTCATCATACAAGGTAATTTCTAGCTATTTCTAAAATGGCTGTGACATTTTGTACTTACACCATTTATACTTAATGAGAATTCCATTTTCAATGTTTGGCTTCCTCAGACTAGATTTTTCCTTATGTATGTGCATAATGTATCACTGTACTTTAAATGGAATTATCCTGAAAACTAATGAGGTTTAGCATCTCTTTATATGTTTCTTAACCATTTGGATTTCATCTAAAGTATCTGTTGAAGTGTTTTTCCTATATTTCCCTTATGCTGCTTTTCTTTGACCTCAGATTTGTATTATTTTTGACACTAGTCTTTTTTTTTTGTTTTTTGTATCAAATATCTTTTCTAATTTTTTTTTACTTTCCTTATCAATTTCTTTATGGTGTCTGAGGAACAGAAATCCTTATTTTTATGTAGTAGTATTTTCCTAATTGTCCTCCTGGATGGTGTGCCTTGTTTAAAAAATCTTTTCCTCTCCCAAGTTTATGAAGTTATTTTCCCATATTACCCTCTATATGTTTTATAAATTTGTCTTTCATGTTAGGTCTTTAAATTATATGGATTTTATCTTTGCAATTTGTGACAGGGTCCAGTAGCATTTATTTTTATGTTTTTCAATTGACTCAGGCTATTTAATTGCAAGTTCATGGTCTTTTGCAGACCTGCTTTATCTCCTCTTTTGTATATAAAGTCCATTTAGGGATAATTTTGTTCCATTGTCCCAATTTCCCCTGCATCAGCACTATATTCTTAATTTCTATACCTCTATAATAAGTCTTAATATCTGCTAGAAAGTATTCTTATATTTTGTTCTTGCTTTTCAGTGGGCTCTTCCTTGGCCCTTTGTGCTTCAACATAAATTTTATACTTGGCTTATCAAATTCCTCTCACATTTGAAAAATTTAATTGCATTGAATCAATGGATTTATGATTTGGGAAGAATTGTATATCACTACTATATTCAGTTTTTCAATCAATGAATGTTGTATTCAGCTCTTATTTAATATCTTAATAAAATTTTATTATTTTCTTTGTAGAGGTCTTGAACTTCTTTGTTAATTTATTCTTAGGCATTTGAAACTTTTTATGCTAATAAAATCATTTCTTGAAATTTTCATTTTCTGATGATTTCTTGTTCACAGAGAAGAAATTTATTTCTGTGTAGTTTTTATAATTAGTAAACTTGACAAATTCTCTTACATACTTTAAAACAAATTGATTATTTTGGATTTTCTACACACAAAGTTGTATAATCTACAAATAATTATAGTTCTTTTCTTCTTTCCCACTTCTTACACCTTTACTTGTCTTTTTCTTCTCTTGCTTTGACACAATGGCTAGAAACTCTGGCAAAGGCATTGAAGAGAATGGTGACAATAGGCATACTTGCTTTGTTTCTGGTCTCAAAGGAAGAGCCTTCTATCCTTTCACCAGCAAAGTTTTTCTTGTTTGTTTGTTTGTTTTTGGTAGATAACATTCAGCAGATTTAAAAAGTATTCCTCCATTCCAAGTGTGCTATAAAGTTTTTGTTATGAATGGATTTTGAATTTTATCAAATATTACCCAGCATCTTATGATTTTTGTACCTTAGTATATTAATGTACTAGATCTCATTAATTCATTTTCCAACATTGAAACAATCTTGTGTACCTGGGATAATTCAACTTGATCATGATTCTTATCACTTTGATACATTTCCAGATCTTTGAATCTTGGCATATACATTACTTTTTCCTACCTGTGAATGGTAAATTGGCCTTCTTTCTACTTTGATTACAACAGGTTTAATTTTATTGAACTTTTCTTCAAAGAATCAAATTGTTGGAAGGTCATTTTTTATTGAGTAATCCATGGAAATAATTCTTAATTTTTACAAATAATAAAATAAAAATATATAAAATAAAATAAAAAATGAAACTTTAAAAATAAAATTTTAATTTATTTGGAATTGTCATTTAAACGGAGGTAAAAATTTCAACACTTTGCCATCATACTTTTATTATTATGTTTTGATAGAAGACTATTTTGGTTCAATATGCTATCAAAGCTTTAAAGTGTAGATGCGGGGATTTTTCAGCTCTTAAAGCCTAGATAATCAATAGTCAAATCATTAATCATCATCTAATTACCTAATTATCTAATTACCACCTTTTAGATCTGACATTATCTTCAAAAAATGTTCCAAGATATGTTTTACCTAAGAATGCTATTAAAAGTTTGCCATATTAGATAATATACTTGATACTCTACTTGATCTTAGCCAAAAGGCCAAGAAGCAATAACTTATCAGATAAAAGTTGATCAAGCAATCCTAAATTTAGTTACTTTTAAAGAGATAAATAGAAAAATAAAAATTCAAGTTAAATAAATCTCCTATACTGTTTTAAGGTTAAGGAAATGATATATAACTTTCTTGCCATAGAGAGATGTTATCAAAGAATATAAGAAACATGTAAGTTTACTCAAAGATGTCCCTGACTCATTAAGAAAGGTAAATTTGAGCATTAATAAGAATAATGGTTTCAATGAATTAAAACATATAAAATTTTGAATCACTAAATTCTTCTCCTGAAACCAATATTACACTAGTCAACTAGAATTTAAATAAAAACTTGAAACAAAAAAGTAAAAAAAAAAGTGTATCACATTTGTTTTCATCCTTGAGAGCAATGATAATAAAAATAAAAAGAAAAGCTTATTGGTCATCTTTGGAGGATGATAGGGAACCATTTCTTATTTTGAAAAATGGTAGGTAAAGAAAAATTGTCCAACCTTTTCTGCCTTCATCCTAACTTTCCTATACAAACTATACGACTAGGTAATCAACTGTTGGTTGAAGGGAAGTTTATCCCTTCATTGACTGAATTAGAATATCACCATTTTGTAACATTTAGTTAATTAATTGATCTATACTAGCCATTGAGCACCAGTGGCTGTAAACAGGACAAAATGAAAGACAGCCAGACATTATATACCTCCCAATGGAAGAATATAATGCCAGCCTTTGACCTTGAACATGAATCAGGTCAGGTCTGTAGGGCAAAAGACCTGTAGGGCAATACAGAGACAGAGGAACTTGTTAAGTACACTGTGAGTATGCAGTCAGCAAAAATCCAATTTGGTAGAAAGACCAGGTTTCTTCAAAAAGTAAGATTCACTGAAAAAGAAGGGGTTGGCAGGAGAATATGTAGACTAAAAGAAACTTAGAAAACATTTTAAAAATAAAACAGGAAAACCACGGGAGTATTTGTTTACTAGACAGATGTCGGTGATAACTCAGGAAGTAATTATCATAAATATCAGGATGGTGGTTGCATTTAGGGTTTGAGAGGGTGTTGTGAGAGGGAGGGGTAAAATGGAGGTCTTATGAGGTGACTGGCAAAGTTTAATTTCTTGACCTGGGTGGTGGTGACAAGAGTGTCTGACATATAATAATGGATTAAGCTATACACTTATTTAATTCTGTTTTCTGTGCTGGGTTTAAAATTTATTTTTTAAACTGGATGAATGTATTTATGATATAATTTTCAGAGACGATGTTATGAAAAATTCTATTTCTATAATAAAGTATCAACTTATCAAGTTGGTAAACACAAGAAGTCAAAGTTGACATTTTCAATATTTATTGGGAAGGCTGAGGCAACAGCCTTTTTATACAGCACAGTCTGCATATGCTATCAAGATACATCTTGCATACAATCACAAAACCGAGACATATTTTTACATAGAGAAAAACTCAAGACAGATTTACAAGCATTTTTAATACAATTCTCATGTATTTCCGTTGAATTTCTACAACCTTTAGCCCAAGAACTGGTACTTGTTCATTAGATTTTTCCAGAGAGATTTGGGTAGAACAGAAAAGAACACATTAGCAAATCACCAACACGGCATGCAACATGTAGTTAGAAACAAGACATACCTCCAAGTTCTTTATTTTTTATTTTGAAATCAATTTTATTAGATTTTTATTTTTTCAGACAAGATTTTTTTTCCCATTAATATCAGATGTGTTTTTGTTAGGATATTAGCACACACATTAATCAGTAGTGGGAGCACCTGAGCACATCACCAACAAATATATAGACACAATCAAACGATAATCATATTCACATGCTGAATGCCAAATGAAATTAATATTTCAACTTTGTCTGTTTTACCAAATGTATAGTAGTTATGTACAGGGTAACCATTTAAGAAAATGCTCTCGATCTACAGATCAGATAAGGAATCATTTGATTAAATGACTTTGACTTAATGGGTACCTTTAATTATGACAACATGGAACATACAGAAAACATCAATGTGTCTTAGTCAATGAGAATATCTGTTTCACTCATTCATTTTTGTATTACATCAAAGGCAAGTAATTATTAAAGAGACGGCTCATAATTATTCATTGAGCTTTCTTTCACTTCCATGTCAAGCTCAAAAAGACGGAAACTCACTCTGTCACATGGAGAGTTATAAACATATATATAGCTGTAGTTGGCTGCTTTTGGAATATTAGACATTATAGCAATGAAAATAAGTTTTTAAAAATATTGTTAGTTATGATTTAAATAATAAAGTAAAAAAATACTATAAACATCTTTATGATATCTTAATGAAATGAAACATCAATCAAATAATTTCTAATAAATTGGGCACAATGTAGTATAGAATTTTATTTTGCTTCACATGACCACCAATCTAGTGTTACTACCACCATCACCACTATTGTTACGACCATTCCTATAGTAAGAATCAATATCAGCTGGTTACCAGCTATAATATTCCCACAATATGACTATTTTAATGTGTGTGATCCACAGAACTAATTCCACTGATACGCTGAAAATATGCATTTATTTGTATGATTACTTACAATACGGGCACATTAAGGAACAAAGACAATCACTGCTCCTTAGTCTTGCATACTGTTCTTTTCAACAGAAATGGTAAAGAAAGAGTTCCAAGTCACCAAAAATCTTCTTAATCTTAAGTAAAAACGGGGGGAAACACCAACTTCTTGCTCATACTGTTACCTATGTCTGTAATGACCATTCTACAAATCCCCATCTTCTGTAAAAATTCACTCTGTGCTTTTGCTTCTACAGCTAGAAGTTTCTTTAGGACCAAATTTTGAACCAAGAAGCAACTCCAGTTTCTGATGACTCAATGAAGTTGTGGGGAAAATTAAGATGCTTTTCGAGATATAGGTGGTAGAACTGGACTGATTGCATATTGTTGAGAGATTACAAACTTTGTCATCAGTAAGATTAAGAAAAAAACTGCTTCCAAAAAATAAAAGAAAGGAAAAAGTGGAAAATTATGTGCCGTGATATATACAAAAAAGTAAAAAACACCAAGAGCCCTATTTGCAATTAAAAAAGAAACAACTTTGTTGTAAGAAGGGTAATCGACATCATTCAGAAGAAATGCGTTTGTTCGAGGATCAGTGTTGCATAGAATAATTCCCGTACAACTTAGGATTTTGGTCAGCTGCAAACTTGGCACACTGTGGCAGGATCTTATGCTCTCTGAAGGGGGATGCTGGTGCACAAAAAAGAAGCCCTATCGTTAGCTCTCTTGATTGACCTGGCCCCATCATCACTGGTTCCTCCGAACAAAGGGGCACCTAGAATGGAGAGACTCCTACCCTTTCAGGTCAAATAGCTACCAAGGGATGATCTTTGTTTTGGTGGCACCTCATTTGTGTTATTCTAAAAGAAATCGCAACTGGAATAAAGTCAGACTTACTGGTCATACAACCTCTCATCCATACCCCTAGATGTACGTGGTTGCAGAAGAGGGCCTAAGGTGAGCTAGAGTTTCCTTTGAAGGGCAAATAGCAGAACCTTTTTTGTTCAGAAAGAGATCTTCTGAAGCCTTTCCTTTCCCAACGATGAGTGATGATTACAAGCTCCCTAAAGTGCTCACTTCTGCTGGAAATATCCATAGCAACCATCAGCAGATCTAGATGTCTCTAAAAATAAAATCTTAGCAGGATCAAGTCTCCAGCAATCCCTTCCCTCATGCTTGTTTGTAGAGCAGTATCAGTGGTGAAGGACACTGCATTATCAGGGAAGACAGGTAAAAAAATAGAGGGAAGGAAAGGAACTGCTTTCTCCTTGGATTGGGGAAGAGTGCATGTGTATTTCTTTATGAACGTAATAAAGATATATAGCCTGGAATTTATCAGAAATTGTTTTATTTTTAGTGTTTTACATTTAATCAATTCCTCTCAAATTTAAATTATGTTTTTCTTTAAAAGTGAGAAAATTCCATATCCAACCAACATATTTGGAGGTGATTTCTCAAAACCCACTAAAACCTCATCTTTGAATGAAGAAGCAGCTTTTAAACTCAGAATGCTCTGGGGCGCAATTTATTTTGGCAGAGGATATGCAAATAGTATAAGATTGGTATGATTCATTTCATTTATAATAACCCAATTTGAAAATCATTTTGATTTAATTCTTCACCTTTTCTCAGGTTCAATGCAAGTTTGTATTTTAAAGAAAAACCATTAGTTTTGGAGTGAATACACTACTCTTATCCAAGTCAATGTCTACCGTCGGTATGGAGGATGTTCTTGCATATAAAATTTGAGAAATAAAGAGCTGCATAGTAATTATTCCTCACTTTATGTATAAAACTATATCTGAAAATGTGCTTTCTTTTTTTCCTCACAGTTCACTTGGCTTGATCATCCCAATATCCCATTAGGAAGGGTAGGAATATGTAATTATTTTTATCCTACAAATAAGAAACTGAGGAAAAGTGACTTTAAGTGACATGTGCAAGGTGACACAGTTAGTCAGTGGCAGGACCAAGACAGAAGCCAAGCTTTTTATCCCAGCTGAGTGCATTTCCTACAACTCCATTCTACTGCCTTTGTCTATAGTGTTGGTCGATGGAGAAGAGGATGCTTCATTTCAATGACTTGGACATTGGTCCTTTTATTCCATATTAATAAAATAGCTCAGGTTAATATAATCTCAATATAATGTTGACTTTTCACCTATTTTCTCAATATTGATGACCTTGATCACTGCAATATTGTCACTAACAGAGAAAAATGGAGCACTAGGAAGAACTTGAGTTTGGTGTCAGGGTTTTCATTATACAATCAGTTAATGCACTAAGGACAAAAAAAGCATTATGGAAGAGCAGGAAATGACACCAAGTGAATTAATCCATGTCAAGGATTAATATAATTTGTTTGCCAGAGAAAGAGTTTTCTTTCTTTCAATACCCCACTCAAGAGAAAGGAAATATGTGGAATAACATTTATTTGCAATTCCACAAAGAACAACTTATCAGGCTTCCTGGAACATACCATTTTAATCTATGTTCTTTGGTATGTACATTGAAAATGTATTGGCTTAATGGTCACTTAAGGAAATTTTGATGTTTTCAACCAAGGGTCCAATATTTTTTGGGGCAACATTCAGTGCAAGCCAATCATGGCTTTATTTCTAGATAAATGTAATTCCATTTCCATTTAGTATTATCTTCGCTCTACATCATTTCATATTATACAAATGTGCTTGTAGGACATGAATTCCAAAGTTGGCGATGCTCACGCTTATAACATCTAGACAGAGAGAAAACCTAAAAGCCATAATTTCTCCATCTCCAGTACCCTTTCCCTCTGAACACAACCACCTCACTTCTAGTCTTGAACGCATACTGTAGTTGTATCCTATGTCACAATCTAAAAACAGTAAGTCGTCTGAGAGAAGAAGATGAAGAAGAAAGATCTTTAGACTCCTGAAAACTGAGACTTGTTACATCACTTCTTTCCTTTCAGGCAAGGCTGTCTTGCATAAATGATCAACTTTGTCTTGCATGAGGAACCATATTAATATTTGAGCAGCTGCCTTTAGCTATAGTTCAACTCTGCTCAAAGATTTGTGCATTAAGTAATCAAAATAGCTCTCGCTGTTTTTCTTGAAGCAATCCAAGGACTCAAAGCTCTTTTTTTTTTTTTTTGGTCTCCAATATGAACTTTTTCATTTGAGTTTTTTTCTGTGTTCCACAACAAAACATTCACGAAGCTTTAAGTATGTGTTTGCCTGTTGTTCCTCCTCTCACGTTTACCCCTTTAAAAACATTGTAGAATAGTATCCAACTCTAGTCTTGATTTGAAATTATTTAGAGCAGTTTCTATACCCTGAGCAGACACATTTCTTCAATGGGTTTGTGTAGGACTGACCAAAAGTTTGTGCCAGTTGACTATTCTTTTTCTGAGATCCACTTTGTCAAGCCAGATACAGGCTTCGCCAATCAAGGTCTTTTTCATAAACTTCCCTCCATTAGAGAAAAGTAAAATCTAGAAAAAATAGCCAAAATTATATATACTTGCATATATTTTTCAACCTTTTTTAAAGGACATTTGATCATCAAAGAAATAACACAGACAAGAAAGGGTGAGGGGAAGTACCAGCTATACATATAAGAAAACTAATCCTCAAGATGTCCTCAAAAGATGTGCAGAATATTAATTAATTCACACCAGCATCTCCCAAAGGAAAAGACACATCCTGGAGGATATGAGAATTTTAGATGACATGTATTAGCAGCTAATTCTGACTAGGTTTATGCTTACATGAATGGAAAGTTTCTCTAAAGAACTTCGCTAGGTACATTTTCTACTAGTTTATGAAATATTAACTCAAATACGAAATTATTTGAGTGCTGAATAAATAAGAGCTCACGAGGCAGATAAAACACAACATTAATTTTATTTAACATTCAGTTACTGGTGATTTTACTATGCTATGTACTTCCAAAGTGATTTCTTGTCATATGTAGAACTTATGTTAGTTGAAATGCCATAGGATTTCAGACTCAAGACATTTTTTTTTTTTCTCTTTTAGAGAGGAGTTGAAAGAAAGGTGGAGAGCATTAGTGGTGCTAACCATGAATCCCTGACAATTCTTTTTTGCTCTCTCTCTTTTCAGAATCTCCTTTAGAAAATTCATCTTCCTTCTTGGCTAAAACCTTACTTTTAGGTTTCTGACTTCAAAATCTACATTTCTAGTTATAACTATCTCTTCTGGCCTCTGGTTTGGGGGTTTCAGATGTATTGTAGATTTTCAGTTGGATCCTGCTTTCTTATCAAATGTATCACATTTCAAACAAATGTGTGATCTTTCTCCCTCGCTGTCCCCTCTCTAACTACTTAATCTCTGTGGATGACACATTTGTTCACACAGATTGCAAGGCATCCTTTAGCTTTTTTTTTTTTTAATTTCCACTCTAATGTCTGTCAGTACTCTCAGTACAGTTTTAGCTTGGTAATATTCTTATATTTGTCTTTAGTGTAGGCCCTTATGTGCCGATATCATGGTCTCACTCTTCCCATATTTTTTCATCTCTTTCCTCCTGCCTCCTTTCCCTCTTTCATTCCTTGTCCCTACATCTACTGAAGACACACTATGTACCAGGATTGTATGAGGCTGTAGAACAAAGAACAATACAAGCCAGGCCCTGCCCTAGAGAAGAGGAAGGTATGGAAGCAGTGACAGGTAAGGGCTGAGTTTACATTGAAAGATTGTGGACCAGTGGGATGGGTGGAGAGACATGAGGAAGACGATATTGAAGGGGAAGAAAAATAGGAGCACAACATTGGAGGCTTAACCTGATTTGAAAAGACTGTGGTGTGGCTGGAGTATAGAGTGTGCTGGGAAGTATACACAGAGATGAGATTAAATCAGTACAATTAGAGCTCACCTTAGAGGTCTATGAATGAGGCAGGATATCGGTGAGTCACTGAAGGGCTTTAATGAACCTGCTAGTCAGTGTTGTTATCTATCGACCTACCTATTTTTAATTCAAGTATACTTAACATGCAGTGTTCTATTAGTTTCAGGTGTACAACATAATGATTCAGCAATTCTATACATTGCTTAGTGCTCATCACAATAGGTATACTCCCATCCGCTTCACCTATTTTACCCATCCTCCCACCCTCCCACCCAGTGTTTTTAAAAGATACCTCCATCAGCAGTGTGATGGAATGAATTAAGAGGCCAAGACACTGATGGCAAGGAGGCCACGTATACTGCTAAAATGATCTGAGTAATAAAGATGAGGACCCAAAGAGGATTAGTGCCAGTGAGCATAAAATAAACTGAGTAGTCAGAAGAGAGAAGACCTGGTAGCTAATTGGATGAGTGAGTGGGCTGTGGAATTCTAAAGGCCCACTGGAAAACACCTCTAAGAATTAATTGACTTGTAAGATGTCACATACTGTATGATCGGTATACACATGTTAAATAACTGAATGGAAAACAAATCCTGTATGAACAAAAATTTTAAAATAGTAGCAATATAATATAGAGTTACCTGAAGAGAATGTCCAGCAGGACTGAGGCTGAATCTAAAAGTTTCATTGAATGAAGGCTCTCTATCATGTCGGCATACTCTTGTTTTTTTCTTGATCACCTTTTTCTGGGTAGAGATGTTCATCACATATATTTTTACATATAAATCTGAAAATAAGAATTCAGCTTGTAAAGTGTCCATGACTCATACAATTTTCTGTTGAAAGAATTACAATTGTACACTGGGAGCTCTTGTATATTTTACACAAAGCTAGCAGGCTGTGCTCGACTTGTTTCAGACAACATAAAGTGATTGAAAGATACACCAATTTTCTTAGCAATTCAGTTATCCTGTTGTATGGTAAATACAGTACTCTAAGATTATGTGTTGAGAAAATTTAGCTAAAAACTAGTAAAATATCAACTTATTTCTATGTAAGAGAAATTAATTCTTATTTTTCATTTTTCAGATGTATTTGGTGTACAGCCCAAATTTTACTCTACATTTTCCAGATTATTCCTATAGGACATATTCCTACAGAATTCCTAGATGTATGACATTGCTCATTATCATAAGATTAGATACCTGGTAAGTGATCGGGAGATTTAAATTTGTAGGTGATATTTCTGCACTGGAGAATCTCAACTATTAGTTGTTCACCATCTGTCTTCATTTCCTTCTTCAGTGCAATCTTGATTTCGCCCATTACCTGAGTTTTGACTGGGAGAATTTAATAAACATGTTAAGGAATATGAAATGCCATCTATCAAATGTTTAATTCAGTAATTCATTCTTACATTTGTTTATTGCTTGCCAAGTGTTGAACACCTTACTGTATCCTGTGGATACACAGATGAATAAAATATAGTCTGAGCCCTTAAGGAGTATAATATCTCTTGGGGAGACTGATAAATTACACACTTACAACAAAGTGTGTTAATATAACAACAAGCTAGTAAGAAGGGAGGTATGGAAGAAATGCAAGTTGATAAGTATTACTTAACTGCAGATTATTAGGCCAAAAGAGGAAAGAGATGAGACCACAAGAAGACAGGTATCCATAAAAATAATATAATTTTAATTTAATCTATAGGAAATCAGTCATGTGAAATACAAGAGTTGTTTGCTAACAATTGCTCATTACCAGGCTTGCGCAAGAACATTTGCTACCACAACTAAATGTTGTTATATGTTCTTTCTACTTCCTTTCTTTTCCTGTATAAAAGAATAGCCAACAAGAATATGTAGTAGTGAAATTGCACAAGGGAAAATACCATGAGAGACTTAAATGAATCCAGTGTATTTCTTTCAAGTGTTTATCTTGGATCTTTGTATCACTGAAGAAGCTATTCATGCTAGGTCATGTTCTTTAATGATTCACCCTTTCCTCTGTCAATTCATATATGCATCCACTTCTCCAATCACCAACAAGTATTTTATTTCCCACCCTACACTGTGATAAGCACTCTGTTAGGAAGAATGGTTACAATGGTGAGCCAAAACACACATGCTTATCAGTTTTATGGTTTCTCCACCTATTGGGAAGAAAGCCTTAACGAATTATTTTCATCAATAAATGTAAAATTAGAAAAAGAGAAAAGGTAATGAAATACAAGAGCATGGTTCCAAGAGAGCCTGCGGAAGTATTGCTTGAGCTGAAACCAGAAGGATGAGAAGTTAACTAGTTGAAATGGATTAAGAACGTGCTACAGAGAAGGAACAGTGTGCTCACAGGAGGGAACATCATGGGGCTAAGGAACTAAATATATGTTCATGTGATTATGACATATTGTTAACTGGCACCATGTTAAGAATTTGGTTTTTATATTTAGGACAATAGGAAGCTATTGAAGGTTTCTAAGTTTGGATATAAATCACTTGTTCTCAGACATCTTGGTTTCAGACTTCTTTACACTCTTAAAAAAAATGGAGGGTCCTCAAAGAACAATTGTGTATATTATAGCTATCAATATTAGAAATTTAACATTTCTAATTAAAATACAAAATTAGATATTCTAGAATACTTATTGATTCCATTAAAATGACAATAATATACTTATAAATAAATATTTTAGTGAAAAATAACCATATTTTCCAGAACAAAAATATATAGTGAGGAAAGCTGTTTCATATTTTTTCAAATTTCATTAATGTTTTGCTTAATAAAGGACAGCTGGATTCTCATACCTGTTTCTATATTAAATCCAATTCATTTTGTTGTTTTAGTTGAAATGTATGAAGAAAGTCCAATCTCATACAAATAGTTGGAAAAGGGAGAAGTATTTTAATATCCTCTTTAGATAATGTTATATAATTAAAATCTGACAAGTGGTAATTTCTGGAATCTGAAATCATATCAATGGACTTTTGAACTGTTACTTTAAAATATATCAGTCTGTCCTGCATTTTATTTTTTTTTTTTATCTTGCATTTTGAATGGATCTTTTAACTATGCCCGACTTGGTAACAGCATATTGTTCATTTTGGAAAATACTGGTTCCCTGAGTTAGGCAGGTCTTGTTGACATATTTCATAAAATAGTTAAAGCACATGTGTTAATATCACCACCAATATCATCAAAAAGGTCTTTGGATATTGAGAAGCCTCCAAGCTCAGGAAGGCAAGTTTTCCAAAGTTCTATTTTTATTTCAAAGCCGAATTTCATCACTGACAACTAGCGTCACTTGTTTTTCTTAAAGTGACAAGTTCACTTTGTTAATTGTTGAGAATAAGGAGCATTTGTTTATCAGTTATTCTTTTTAGCAAAAATTACACTTCTTATTAAATAGGCTAGCTCAGCGGGCAACTCAAAAAAAAATTACACAAACAGGTTTCCTCAAGTCAACTATCATAATTTGGCAGGCAGCAAAATGCTTTAGGTATATTTCCCATTTCATCACACAGAATTAGAAAGACATGTACTTAAGGGTCTAGGCTTAATAACAATAATTTTAACTTCCTCATTAAGGACAGTCTTAAATGAAACTGACATTTTCCTTATAAGTGAGTGGCAGTTAAAAAAATAAATACAGTGACTATTAATATAGTTTGGTGTCACTGCCCTACCTTGTGCTAAGTCCCCAGCAGTTTACTGCATCATTGCTTTTGCATTATCAATGCAAATGGCAGCCCAGTGAAAAGGTAAATAATATCTTAGTATATATTTTTTTAAGATTTTATTTATTTATTCATAAGAGACAGAGAGAGAGGCAGAGAGAGAAGCAGGCTCCCCGCCTAGCAGGGAGCCCGAAGTGGGACTCAATCCCAGGACCCTGAGATCATCACCTGAGCCGAAGGCAGACGCTTAACCATCTGAGCCACCCAGGCACCCAACATCTTAGTATATTTAAAAAAAATAATTTTGACTTCGTGCATGCACGTAGACAAAATACAGAATACAGACTATAGTTGAGTAATCTTTGAGAGGAAACTAAAGTAACAAAAGCATTATGTGCAAAATCATAAATATATTAGATGGTGGTGATTTAATCCTTTTGATTGAATTTTGTCACATTTCGGGGATGTGTTATTTTGATGAATTTCTTTCCTGGATCAAGTGTTTGATTAAATTAATTTAACTTTTTATGCCTGGATGTACCCAGACATGTAGAGAAATATCTATCAATACCAATAACTAAGGTCCAAAAATACAGGAAACCGTCCTCTACACTGAAACACAAATCTTCTGGATATGATTACATCATAATAGTTTAGCAACCAACAATTGTAGATACTTCACAGCAGTTAGATGTGAACTTTACTCTCAAGAAACTCAAGAAAATAAAATGCAAGCCAAGGATTTTATATACAGTTCAGCTGTCTTTCAAGTATGAAGCCTATAGTTTTAAGCATAGAAAAACTCAGGAATTCTATACAAAAATTGATTCTCTGAGAAATACACCAGGGATGCATTTCATTAAACCAAAGAGATAACTAGAGAGACTTCAGCACAAGGGATGATGGTGAGTATTTAACGTACTTAACTGTAGAGCTAAGGCTAAAGCAGGAATGAGGACACAGGTGGGTGGGAGAACAGCGTTTGTTATGTATTACGACAGTATTAAGAATAAAACCAAAAATAGATGGAGGCAGAAGGGAGAGAAAGGGGAAAGTAGAGTGAGATTATTGATTTTTGTATAGGTAATAGGTAGGTAACAAAGGATGCAATTTAAAATTAGCAAACCAGATAGTAAGTAGTGAAGTAAGAACAAGAATTATAAATAGTCTAAATAAAAAGGAAATCATTAAAACAAAGATACAAATCTTTCTTAATTACAGAATTTTTTTTCAAATCAAAGACACCAAATGGATAAAGAAATATAATAAATAGACACAATAATTACAAAACAAAATGTAGAGTTGCAATCAAACTTATCTATATCAGTTAATATAACTAGGTTTAGCTAGCCTATCTTTAGAAAGACTTTAAGACTGGCTCATAAAGCAAAGCTTAAGTCTATGATAAAATTTAGTTTTGCTTCAAATAGTGAAAAATACATCAATTATAAGCATGCCACGTTTATAGAAACCAGAAGAGAGTAGGGGTTGGACTGATATTATCAGACAATATAATTTAGGGTACAATGCAGTAAACAAGACAAAAAGGGGCATTTGATCAAGCTAAGGATACCTAAATCCTAATGAAGGTATAACAATTATGAAGATGTATGTACCACTTAAATAAGACTGAAACTATAACATGAGATGTAAGAGTTGTAAGGAGATGAATGAGAATAGTAGTAAAAGACTTCTATACAACACTTGTAATGCAAGACAGGCCAAGTAGACCAAAAGAAGCAAAGACATAGAATTTTGAGACATTATAATCAATAACGCAGATCTCATGTATATTTATTAAATACCATACCCTGATAACAGAGAATATATCTTTTTTTCTCAATTATATATGGCACATTCCCAAAATTGATCACATACTGAGTTGCAAAGAAGATATCAGTAAGTTCTACAAAATGAAGCTATTACAAACATTGATCACCCACAAAAAGCCTTCAATTAAATAATTCTTGGGTGAATGGTGACATACAGTAAGAAAAGACAGGAGTTCTGAAAAATAACAATAATGAAAAGAACCACGTGTCAGTCTATGAGAGTTAAAGTAATGCTGAGAGGAAAATCTCAACTTGAGATTGGCAATCCTGGCTCATCGTTCAGAAGATCTGACGGTTTCAGTAGAATCAGGAAAAACGTCCAAGGCTCCCCATTTCCTGGAGCTCTAAAATGAAGTCAGTGAAAAGCCCAAAGCAGAGATTATCTTCTCCTGGGAATAAGACATATCTTGGCTTGGTGGAGTGAATGCTAGCAAACAAAACAAAACAAAACAAAACAAAAACCCAAAAAAACATTTAATCAAATTTCAAAAGGGGGAGCAAAACCTCATCAACCAGGCCAGCAAATCTAAATGTGCAACAGTTCTCTGTCTTTCCTCCAAAGCCATACAGAAGTGGAAAGAACACCATCTCTCAAACCCGCACCTGGGATGGAAGGAAAAAGAGGCTTCTAACTAGGTAAGGAGGGAGCCAAGGAAAATTCACTCCCACTAGTCGGAGCCAACAGAAGCTGTGGATAGAACTGATGACAGTAATGAGCATGCAGGAATAAAACAGCAGGACAAATCTTTTTCTGGGAGAAATTCACTTTTATAGGTCATATTCCTCTTTAACAGCCCTTAAAACCCCACACGCTAAGCATGTGATATTTGT